TTAGGCGCAGGGACGAACGGTGGGTGCACGTACCGTCGACTGAAACAAATGTTAGCCGCAGGGGCGAACGGTGGGTGCGCGTACCGTCGGCTGAAGCAAATGTTAGCCGCAGGGGCGAACGGTGGGTGCGCATACCATCGGCTGAAACAAATGTTAGCTGCAGGGGCAAAAGGTGGGTTCGCTGGCTGTACACTCACGTCTCTGTGTGACCAACTGGGGCATGTAAACAAAAGGGACATCCCAGATGGGGTGGGACCTCCCTCCTTGTATGCGTGGGACGTCCCAGTTGGTCATGTAAACAAAGGGGACGTCCCAGATGGGGTGGGACCTCCCTCCTTGTACGCGTGGGACGTCCCCAGGACCTGGGATATCCGACTTCAATCGGGTGGGACGTCCCTGCGTGTACGTTGCAGGGTGGGACATCCCACTCAAATTTCCCTGGGACATCCCATCTTGCTTCCTGTAGATGGGACATCCCACCCAATCAGCCATCACGCAAGGGATGTCCCACCATCCATGGCGCACTTGTGGGACGTCCCACGCAGGACGTCGTTGATCGGAGGGACTTCCCTCCCCTGCTAGTATTAGTGGGATGTCCCACCTTATTTTTTTAGTGGACCTGTGGGATGTCCCAATTTTAATTCGAACATTATTGTTTCCTTAGTCCAGCAATTAAAAAATTAGTTGCAACAGGTCATTGGATCATTATTTGTATTACTCTATGCTGTATCGATTCGTCCCTATGAAATTCGGACTTGTCGCTTGCTCGAGGGGGATGCCGAGATGCCGAATGTCCAAATCAGGAAACACAACGCATATCGTCCCAAACAGGAAATCGTGTTGATTTTTAAAAAAAACATTGAAGTCATACAACTAAGAACATCTCTCTAAGAAAAGGAAAATCCTATTGACTAGCAGGTAACACAGTGCATTGCGTCCGACTCAACCTTATATTAAAACAAGAAATAATAAGGAAACATCACATGTCACAGTCAAGGCTCTCGCGTCCACTCTCGGTAAGAAGAGAGGGATTGGGTAGTGCGAATGTGAGTCTCGAAAGATGATGGAATAAAAGGTTAACTACTACAGACGAATAACTACTCTTCTTATAGTGTTTTAACGAACCGTGTGAACTACAGTATAAATAACTACTACAATAACCCGTAGATGTGTGTGTGGCAGTGCCTGTCACTACACCTGTCATAATTAAAGTCTTTGGTAACCTAATTGTGAACGTCCCATAGCAACATATCATATTGTCGATCTGTCCATGTTTCAGACTAAATATATCCCCCTGATGTCATGTCCCGTTCCGGCTTAGGTGTTGGAACGATAAGATTGCGATCGAATCGTGACATCACAAGCACGATAAAATACCAACCCACCTTTGGACGCATTGAAAGCCACCCTTTTTCGTACCCCTCGCCGTCCAAAAGGGAAGATGTAGGAACGCAGTCAGCGCCTTGTGCAGCGCCGATAGTGCTCGATGCAGGCTTCTATTAAAGGAACAAACAATGATGAAACTTCAAGCACCGATAAAATACAACGCACCTGTGAACGCATTGAAAGCCATGCGGTTTCATAACCCTCGCCATCCGAAAGGGAAGATGTAGGGACGCGCTAGATAAGCACAGCAGATGAATACATGTCAAGAGAAAATAAGCACAGCATACCGGCAAGTAAGCGCCTTGTGCAGCGCAGATAGTGTTCAATGCAGGCATATTGAATTAGATGATGGTGCAGCATTGGTGGTGGAGCGTTCGTTAAGTCAGTTCTGGGTAGCGATATGATGAAACAAATGCTTGCCTTTATACACCCCCCACAGGCCAAGGAACAATGGCTGGCCACTGGCCACCCATTACCCGAACGGGAACACGGGAACAATGGCGGCGCTTTCAGCGGTGCTTGAGTCAAAAAAGAATATTTAGACAAACGGGGCATCAAGAGGAATCCGGTCATACAATTGAAAGTACAGGCATATACACATAATGAAAGCAAAACAAGGCCATAGAAGATGCTGGGGGGGATCACCCGAGGCACTGGCTTGGGTAGCACCGCGTCCTCTCTCGCCTTCTGCATGTAACTCTCGATATCCTCCTTCCAAATTCGGCCTGCGCTCGGATGTCAATAACCCGAAGGCGCGGAATCAAGGCCAAAACACGTACGGTGGCACCAGTACTCCAAACGCCGTTCATCCAGCTCACCATAGGTGTTGGGGAGGTCGAAGACAAACGTCCGGCGTCCTACGGTTGGGAACCGTGGAGGTTTTCCGTCGATGCGATAGCAGGCGTAGATCACCCGAACTAGAATATCGTCAGCGAAACGGAATCAATGCGCTTAGGGGAAAAGCGGACGCACGTTTCTCGTCCAGCTCCATGTGGCGCTTGTCGTCCCCGGGGAACAGGTTCACCACCACATAAGTGAAAGGCTCGGTGGCGATTTCGAAAGCCTCCCAATAATCCCCCCCAGCGCGGTGCATAAGCTCGGTGTGGTGTTGAGTGAGGAGACGTTTGAGCTGCAAGGGGTGATCATGGCCATCATCGACCTCGAAAGCCGCCCCGAACTCGGTGTGGAACGCGTCCTCTGTGGCAGTGGGGGTTAAACTCAGGACACCGATATATACTAGTCATGTACCGGCCGCAAAATACTCGAGCAGCTTCTCGCGATTGTGGATATGCGAGGAATAGACTGCAAACAAGCAATGTGTCAGCTACCAGGGATCGTTCTCAACATAAACAGAAGACGTACTAATGCCCTCTCAAAGCACGACGAGTGCGGCGTACACCGTGTCTTTGCGAGCATGCCACACCTCATTATTGTCATCTGGAATGAACTTGCCGTAGAGGTCCTCATAATCCTCCTCTGATGCGAGCAACTATGAGACGACTGCGAAGGAAAGAAAGAAGATGGAAGGGACGTACTACTCCATCGAGCGTGGGTGGCCTTCCCAGTGTTCTGAGGAGATGCTACTGTAGAGAAACCATTAGCCAGAAAGCTTCGGAGCAGAGACGGTGTGATGCGGACTGCGGTGCTTTAAACTGCCAGATGGTGGGGAGATCTGGGCTATGTTTAATGCTCGTCCTCTAGGGGGAATTTGTTCTGTCGCGGTAGACAAGTATGTAGGGAGGTTTAAATAATATTGGTGGGGATATCCGTACAAGGATTCGAACAGTTGGTTCAAAATCCTACTAGCTAGGGTGGTCCGAGCGAACTCCGATGCCTAGTTAGCCTTCTCGGGTTTAACGGAGATTGAATCTGTTCCACACTTCCTTGGGGAGGAGCTTCGGAAGGCGATGCGGGGTCCAATTCGTCAAGTCCGAGGTGAAATATGGATTTTGGGGGCTTCCTGGACCACGAACCACAGTCGTCCGAAGTATCTTTGAGTCGTAGATCGTAAGACCGGGGGATTTTATGTGTTTGCGATAACGTTCCGGCAATTTCTCCTCCCTTTACCCCTCTTTGTGCCTCTACGGAGTTTCCTCTCTCTACTTCTCACCCGTTCGCTTGCTGAAGGCGACTTCCTGCGGGCTCTGCACCGCCAACTTCCTTAGCTAGCAGCTACACACGAACTCCGAGGACCTCGTTGTGCTGTTTGAGATATTTCACTGCCCTACTTGCGTAGGGGAGGAATAAACGGTTCGATTTCTCCGGCGCTGAACTCTTTATGCCGAAATATAAACTCTGTTCGCTGTCTGACGGCGGCAGGGGAGTACCGGGGTCGCTTTACTGTGTAACTCGACTCCGGGTGACCTCTAGGTGATGTTCGGGGCGGATATTTAGCTGCTCCTAAGCTGGCTAAGGCTTAGAAGGTGAGGATGTGGGCCGAAACTGAGATGATATTTTGGTAGACTAGCTGTAGTATTTATACCCCAGCCCAAGGCTGTGCCGGAGTTGTTCCTTTGTGTCCCATACCTGCTCACTCACACGCTCCTCCGCCCCGGAGTTCGCTTATGACTCATTCTAGAACTCTGTGAACCCTTACCCGCACCATCTTCAGTCTGGCACCGATTCCGCAACCCGGACTTGTTGGCCCTAGTCTCGGACACTCCATGTCTGGTCCTAGCTCTCCTCCTATCCAGCTTCCGCCTGCGACAGCTCGATAGTGTAGTGGAAACGCACTCCGTATCCTTTCACCCCAGTGTTTGACTTACGGAAAGTCCGGAGTTCGATCCTCCGTCGAGCCCTTTTCCTGTGTTACCCACCTTTTTTGATTACCCGGAGTCCTCGTTCCATCCTTTCGGGCCGTTTGGTATTCGCGACTCGATGGCGTAACTGTAACGCATCCTGCCATGGTTCTTGCACAAGCGTGTCTTTTGCAGGAAGTCCGGAGTTCAATCCTCCGTCGAGCCACCCCTCTTTTCCATTCCTTTTTCGTGCGCCTCTTTACCGGACCTTCGCATCGCTCGCACACATGGTCCGGTGGCGTAGTGGTAATGCACTCTGTTCGCGTAGCTGGCGGGAAACTGAAATCATGGAGGGACCGGAGTTCGAATCTCCGACGGGCCTTTATGTTCCTTTTGTCCGTCGAGTAAGAAGATAGGGCGTGTTTTTGAACGGTTTAGTGGTGTAATGGTAACGCACTCTGCATTCCTATGTAGTTCGCGGTTTGCTTCACGGAAAGTTCGGAGTTCGATTCTCCGCTGAGCCATTATGAAGAAAACCCTTCTTTTTCATGGAGATAGTTTTGGCTGGTCTTTTGATTCCTACGGCTCAGTGGCGTAATGGTATCGCACTCCGTGATGATCTAATGGATTTTTATATCAATTGACGGAAAGTCTGGAGTTCGATTCTCCGTCGAGCCATTCCAACGGAAACCCTTCTTTTTACAGTGATCATCTTGGCTGGTCATTCGACTCCTATGGCTTGATGGCGTAATGGTAACGCACTCCGTAAATATGCACATTTTTATATCGATTGGCGGAAAGTCCGGAGTTCAATTCTCCGTCAAGCCGTTTGACGGAAACCGTTCTTTTTGCAGCGATCGTCTCGGCCATTTGTACGGCTTGTTGGCATTGTGGTAACGCGCTCCGTAGCAATATGTAACGTTCACGGAAGGTCCGAAGTTCGATTCTTCATCAAGCCCTTTGACGATAACCATTCCTTTTCCCGGTCTTATTGGCATTTTTTTGGTAGTCCGGTCATGGCTTGGTGGCGTAATGGTAACGCGCTCCGTGTACCTAACGTTTTCATATCGGTTGATGGAAGGTTCGGAGTTCGATTCTCCGTCAAGCCATGTTGGGTCGGGATATGATTTTTTAACTCGTGGTCCATGTTACTGATTTTATATATTGGTTGACGGAAAGTCCGGGAAGCCATGGATTGGGTCCGGATAACATTTTTAACTCGGAGTCAGTCCTTGGTGGTCTTGAGTTCGATTCTCGAATGGCTTGTTGGCGTAATGGTAACGCATTCTGTGTACCTATAGCATTCCGGTTGATGGAAGGTTCGGTTCGATTCTCCGTCAAGCCACTAGTTGGGTCCAGATATCATTTTTACGTTGATGGCTTAAGGCGTTGTTCTCGGAGTTCAGTGTTTTGAGGTTACGTCGGGAGCTATCACAATGTGATGGCTCACAACGGCAGACTCACAGGCCAATGCGCGGGTCTCACAGACTTCCTTGTTCATTTTCGCACGGTCTACTTCTTCACTTGCGAGGGTGGAGTCTCGAAGTTTGGGATTGGCATCGTGGAGGCGCTCTCGCAACGAAAGAGACGGAAGAAGCGTGATGGGGAGGACCGGAGAAGAGAGCCTACGGAGAGCGCGCTTTTGAGTGCGGGTGGGCGCCATTACGGATGAAAATTTGTTCTTACCCGGAGAAAAGGACACCCCGCTTTTAAGTATGTGCTGCACGCACGATGGATGGCACACTGTTCTCGTTTGGGCAACTGTGAACAAGCTCAATGTGTCCACTTCATTGTCGTCGATCGTACTCACCGAATTTGGGCTGCAGGTGGCTTTGCGCGCTTTTCTGGCTCGGCTAATTGGCGTGCCCACGATTGGTTTCATGAGGCGGATTGCATTGTCGTTCAATTCGGCCTGTTTTTCACCTCCTCGCAAGTCTACAAAATGTAACGACTAAGTACACTGTAAACTACATGAGCGCAAGAAGCAAGAGAGAAATAGGTGCCGGTCACTGATGCCGTGCCACTTGATGTGACCAGCGGTGGCAGAAGCCCGGGCCGGCCACATGACCACATGCCAAAGCCGCGACGCAACACGTTTATGCTAAACCTAGCAGGAATGAGATAATGAGATGAATAGTGCATAGTACAGTTAATACATGTAGAATTCAGGCTCCTGCGCACTGCGATAGATGTCCGCTGTGTCTACCGCGTCCAGAGTCCCAAAATCTTCATCTTCACACCCACTATCCTCACCGCCATCTTCTTCATCGTCATCTGACGCGTAATGCCTGTCCTCCCCTCGAGCGGCTGCATGCGCATCAACTACACACGTCGCCAGTTGCGCCACCAACAGACCCCATGCTGGCAATCCGGCATCTTCTACCCCGAGGTCGGGAAGGCTTTTTTGCCACGTCGCACACAAGCGAACCAGATTGTCGCGGAGTAATTGCAGCTGATATTTGTCCTCTTGGAGCTCTGCGGGAGTTCGAGTCGTCAGCCGGGCCCTTTTCTTCAAAAGAAAACAGAATAAATGTACCTGCACGCTGTAACACTACATTTACGATGGCCCACTCCTCTGCAAACCATTCCTGTAATGCCCGTCTCTCTTTTTTCAAGCGCACATCCTCCTCCGCGCATCGATCCAGCTCGAACATCGCTTTGATACCCGACCTCACCTTCTCGTCACCTAACCAGGGCGGTACGGCTTCACCATCTCCATCGCCATCATCATCATCGAGCCCCACGTCTTGCCAGATTCCGTCGTCAACATCCAGCTGCCATATGCCCTTCACAGGGATAGGCAATGGGGCGATCGCGCCCCTGGGCGCCTTCTTCTCTTTGATGAGCTTGGACATTTGCGCACAGAGCTTGTTGTAGTCGTTATTGAGTTTACTGATGGTGGGTTTGCGACGTTTAACAGCAGATTCTGTGTGAGCGTAGAGTTTCTGATCTACAAAAAGAATGGTCAGTTTCCTTCGCCTTACCCAAGACGACGGATCCACCCATACCGTTAACCAGCCGTCGGAAAGAGCATTCCACTTTGTCGAGCTTGAACTTCCTGGAGCGAAGTTGATCACGTAGGCGACGTTTCAACGCCCGGGTGTTCATTCGCTGACGCAGGTACTCGCTATTCGCTAAGCCCCTCAACGACTGGCGCTCCGTTACTCCCAAAGCGCTTTCTTTCTGTCTTAGCTTTGTTTGAGCCGTCTTTAAGGCTTTGTCGGCGGAGTCGAACGCCACCTGGTGCAGTGGCGCGCTGGCATCTTCGTCCATGACCGCATCGAGGAATGCCTGTCGTAGGTTTTCGACCTGCGTCTCCTGAGCTTTCAGCGCCCCACGCATCAGTATCACGGCGTTGACCGCCTGCTGGCCCTTGTTCTTTGAACGCCCTACACACAGCGCCTGTCAGTTTCTTACATAGACGGCGCTGAGTTCAGCACGTACAGGGGAGTGGCTTTGTCTGCGTCTTGACCTGCAGTGCCCACTGGGCGCGCAGCAGCGCCATCGGTTGTCCACATTCCACCAATACAGCCCACGCTTCAGCTCGTTTATTTGCGCTATGGTAATGACGCCGCTGTATCCACTCCCCGAGTCGGTAGAGGCTGCTTTCATCCGCATGCTCAATTTGCATGTCTAGCTTGTAGAGTCTGTTGTGGTACTAGGAAATATATTAGACTCAGTGCCCTTGAATTAAATGTCGTGTACTTACACCAGATATCTGCAAGTTGGCAATCAAGTGGCTGATTGAGTGCCAGAAGCGCTCACAGCCCTCACCGTCTGAGAAACCAAAACCGGCACGTTTGCGGGGATGGTAGAGAAGTTGACACAGCCACTCATGGCCGAAAGCATGGAAGACGGACACCGCAAAGATTAGGCGGTCCATATAACGGGAGAGGAACCCCCATTTCCGACAACTCCTTTCAAACGCGCATGCAACGTCGTACAGAAGGCCGACCCTGATGTTCAATGGAAGCTCCTGGAACAGCGTCTCCAACAGCACGATGACATAGAACTGTTTCTCGCCCGCGGAATGCATGTTAATGAGCCAGAGGACTCGATCATGGTGACAGAGCAGTCCCATGATCGCCATGTCCTCAAAGAACCGGGTGCTCGCCTTCTCGCGTTTTTCATCTGCGGCCTTGAAGGATGCCTCGCATCCATCCAGAACGGAACGCAGCAGACAGAGCAAGGGGTGTTCATAACCGTCCTCCTCCTCCAGCGCATCCCGCATCGCTTTGTGGCGTTTCCCCCCTCTGTCCTCCGTCTCCCGAACACCGTCCACATAGGCTTCCGTTTAGGTGGCACTGTCTTCAGGAACGAAATGGGTCTTTGGGTAGCTCCGAGGAGGATTGCGGCCAGTTTTCGCACTCTGTCTCTTTTGCGTAAAGCAGGTGTCAATGCAAGGAATGAAATCGATGCTGGAACTCGGTGTCAGTTCGCCGCATACAGGACGCATAAATTGGCAAACCTCATGGAATTATCGCGCTTCAAGGCGCCAAAGCATGCTGGGCACTGACGTCACAGATACTCGCTGGGGCGTGTGCAAGGCAGGGGATCGGGGAACGGCGGCTGCACCTCGGGAGTCGCCTCCCGCCCACGCTTCCATGGCTGGGGAGCAGGTGATGATGAGGGAGAACGAGGGCCCCATCTGCGTTCGGCTGCACATCCGCAAGCTGCTGGGGTAGGGGAACTGGGCGCGGGAGATGTAGGCCACGCGGGCGAGGCGTCAGGTGGTGATGAGTCCCGGGGGCCAGGTGAGGTTTCCGTCTGCTGGTGATTTGACTCCTGCGGGGCGCCCGGCGCGCCCAGGAATCGTATACGCTCAGTTTCAAGCAGCTTGCGGTAACAGTCTTTCGTCTCATTGCGCAGGTGGATATACCACATAATGCAATTGCCAAACCGCCTGCGCAAAGAGATCTGCTCAAAGCGGTGAGAAGAAATCGTAGGCGTAGTGGTATGAGACGTACCTGGTGCTGCAGTTGGAATCCCATGTTACTTAGACATCACTCGAGCGTCGTGGCGAACACAGTGTTGTTGGGCACGATGTGGAGGAAGAGGTTCTTGCAGAATTCCAGGACGCGCATGTCGACAGCCAGCGACGGTTGCATCGGTGCGCAGGGGAAGGCGTCGCACTTCATGAGTTGCACGGCGGCCGGTGAGCATGGACATATACGCAGTTGCACGTCCTCCACAGCTGGAAGAGCAACTTATATTAGCGCGATGAAGCTAGGTATACTGAAAACATACCACAGAAACACACAATAGCGATCTTGTGGACTCTGGCAGCAACGCAGGAGCACCCCTCGGGAATTCCAGTCGGTAATGCAAGGTTGCCGCAGTCTCGTAGTGATTTGGTTTCGTGCATTATGCGCACGAAGTGGGGGATGAGGTTGGGAATGACTTCAAGCTGCCAACACCGCCCGTCTGCGTTGATGCTGGGTGGGATCCGGGGGTGGAGTACGTTCCAGTGCCACCATTTATTGGTCGTCCTCTGGGATTTGTTCGTCCGCGTTAAGGGTGGTGAACACGGGGTGCCGGAGCAATGGCGGTAGGCACGGCTGTTCAAGGGTGCGCCCATTGGGGAGTATAATATTGGGGCGGCTGCTGATGTAGGGTGGAATCGTTGCCCGTGGGTGAGCAACGCTGGGACCTGGATGGGTCCGGTAGTCCCGAGGTTGCTGCGCAGAACGCCTCTCTTTCTTGGTGAGCCGGATACCTGCTGGCATCATCGGTGCTACGATTGGGATGAGTGAGGGGTCTTGATTGGAGAGAGCGCGCGCATGCCACCCACAGAGCTTTGTCGGTGTCACTCAAATTTCACTCGCACAAAATCCACATTAAAATTGGGAGAACTACGTGTAAGCGATAGTATAGTATGCATGTAAGCTACAATTACAACGGAGACGCTACTCTACAGTACACACAACGCATCTGTAAGTGGTGATGGAAGTCAGGAGCA